GAAAGGCATTGATTTATATGTTTTAAAAATATAGCTGCATTACAGTGGTACCTCGGGTTACATAAACTTCAGGTTACATACGCTTCAGGTTACAGACTCCACTAACCCAGAAATAGTGCTTCAGGTCCAGAACTTGCTTCAGGCTGAGAACAGAAATCGTGCTCCGGCGGCGTGGCAGCAGCAGGAGGCCCCATTAGCTAAAGTGGTGCTTCAGGTTAAGAACAGTTTCAGATTAAGAACGGACCTCCGGAACGAATTAAGTACTTAACCTGAGGTACCACTGTACAAAGATTAAGAAGGCTAATAGCAGAGAGTATTTGGAAGCCAAAGAAAGGGATGTGTCTTGCATTAGGTCAAGGAACCTGTTGCAGGCCAGGAAAATGTAAGGAAAAAAAGAAAAGATTTCCCCCCCTAATTATTTCTAGATTTAATCTACGAATAGGATTCAAGGAGGCACTTTGCATGCCCTTCAGGACATCTGAGGTCCCACTCTTTGAGTATATAGCCTCCATTTTCCCTCAGAAAGTTACTTCCAAAACTTAAGAAATCCACAGCAAGGCAAATGGGAAATCAAGCCAATCCCTGCCATTGCTGTTTGTTGTGATTCAGCTTTAAAGAGCGGGGTTTTTTGCAAGAAAAGCTCTGGGGCAAATTAAAAAAAGAGTGCTTGAAGATGGAGCTTTAAAACGCAGACTTGTGCCTGGAAAGAGCAGGCAAAAGTTAAGTGTGGATAAGTCCTTAGCTTCGGACATAAAAACATCAGTATCAACACTCCCTCTACAGCTAGTAATGAAAACAACAGTATGATGACCTTAACAAAGAGTACTAAATAACCAGGTTGCGCTATCAGTAATTAGAGAAGTAACTAGAGCCAGTCTTTTAAACTTGATTCTCAAGTTCCAAGAAAGGTGATTATTTCACACTTACTATGGGTCCCAGAAATCTTCTTTCGACCGTGTTTACCAATCAGGGTTTCTTTTCTTCCTGGTCATAACCTAGTTCCCATAGATTGGGAAGAGACTGCACACCTTGACTGCAGATGTGCTCTTTTCTAAAGGCAAGCCGAGAAAGTATTATCAATACCCACATTCACACACTGAGAAATATCAGCAGGAAACAGGTATTCAAACCACACACATCCCTTTTAGGACTATCAACCCCTGCTTCCAAAGACCAAAACAAACAAACAAACAAACAAACAAACAAACAAACAGATGGAGTATTTGGGAGCATCACAGCATCTGATTTAGGTGCGGGCAGTGCTTTTTTTTCCTCTAAAAAATGTTTAGGGGTACTCTCATTTTCCCACTCATATTGAAATACTGCCCCTCAATGAGGCCAAACATAGATTCACAAAATGTTTAGGGCTATACGTGTCCCCCCCAGAAAAAAGGCACTGGGTGTGGGCACAAAATAACAACAATTTATATTTTTGTAATGATGTAAAGTTTCAGTGAGCCTATTGAGAAAACCCATAAAAACGCAACTATGCCAAAAGGAATTATTGTGAAAAGGAGAAATATTGGGAGGGGCGCACCAGATTTTGTCCATAGCTTAGCTCCTGGCAGTACAGCAGCAGCTGGACCAGGGGAGAAGCCGGACAGCCACAATTTTCTCCCTGTGCACCAACACATAGTGTGTTTATCATTAAACCATAGTTAAGCTTATGGTTTAGAGTACCCATCCAAAAATTATGGTGACAGTTCTTCAAAACAAACATAGCCTGAGTTTACATTCCATCTGAACATGGTTTGAAAATAGCTTTCTGTTAATACTACGCAGAATAACAAATGGTCCTGCTGTGTCGCAGAAATTCCTAATCTTGCACGTTGGGTAAGGTGGGCCAGAAGCATTTATTGACCAGAAGCAATTATCTGTCTATCCACCTAAAAATATGGCCCAATCATTTCATCTAGTGACAGTTCAGTATTGCTAATTATCCCTTTGCTGACAGGAATTCAGATAAACTGGAAGGCAAATTAAAACAGGCACACTGTCAGGATGAGTCACCTCTTTTGGAAAGAGAAATTAGTTTTGTCTTGTCACAAACTATCAGGAACACCTAGGAAGTCATTTCCCCAGCCAACTGCTTAGGATAACACCTTCAGTAATTTGAAAAGCAGTATTTTTTTGCCACACAGGCTTCCAGATGGAGGTGTTTTCAACTGTCAAGCATGCTGATTCAGCATGTACTGATAACCACTAGTGTGGACTATAAAATGGAGACTAGTACAAGGGCTGTGGTGTAGACTAATCTTCCTATGCTAGTTGGAATATGTTCTTCCTCCTCAAGATGTTCTTTTTATTTCTTGTTTAGTGCCACAGGCTGCAGTGAAGAGCGTTTTCCTGCCTGAGGCAAATGCCTATTTGTTCTCTCTCACACACCCCATTCGTTGTTCAGAAGCTGTGTGGACTGGCAGATGAATCTTACTGGTGACAGTGTGAATAGTTGTGTGCAGTGCTTTTTTTCCTGGGGGTATTCATGGGTACACAGTACACTGTGGGCACCAGGGAAGACCTCTGTGGGTACCTGCAGGCATCATGTTGGCAACACCAGTTCTGAAACATACAAAGGCCTATGTGGTTCATGAATGAGGTATTTTAACTATGGGGCAGCTCACTCCCCCTTATTCCACCCTTCATCCTAAAGTCGCAGGGCAGGTCACTTTTAAAGGTATTTTTACCTTAAAAACAGCTTAAAACAAATTACAGTCACAAACATGGAGAGGGTCCTAAAAAGGTAATCTTGAGGGTCAAAGGGCAGGGTAAAGAGTGTAAATGACTTTGCAAACATGGTAAAAGAGGGTAAAGAGGGTAAATGACTTTGCATGCATGGTAAAATCAAGTTGATTTCCTCTTTAATTCACTCCAAGAGTTAATGGGTAAGTCATAACATTTCAATGTTATGTAGAACTACACTTGATTCTTCACCACAGCAGTGGGAAAAGAGCTATGATTTCTCACCTGATGTGCTCTGTTTGAATTGTTGTTTGCTTTAGGTTGGGTGAAGTGTTAATGTACTTTTGTAAAAGTCTAGCTGAGTAAATTACTAGACCCATTAGTGCAGGAATTTACCTTTCTTACACAGGCTTGCAGTGGAGAGTTGCCAGTTACTGAGAACAAAAGCAGCTGCTACCACCCTAATTAAAAACCATTTATATGCATACTATTCACTTCACATTCTTTTATGCATTTATTTCAGGCCTTGGAGTGAAATAGCTCAGTTTCACAAAGGTCACTGAATTAGTCTAAAAGTCTCCAAACACTTACTGAAAGTAGTTCCCATAATTTATGAGTGAAGTGAACATGTAATAAGTTTATTTTGGGGTAGATTTCTAGTTCATCATCTTCAAGTTTCTTCACAATTGTTGGGGAAAATAAACGAAATGGTTCACATTCCACTGTGTTCATTTTTTGATGCTCCCTTAGCCTTCGTAACTATATTTTATACTTCAGCACAGCTGCTTGTAACATTCTGAATGCTGAAAAAACATTGCCAAAGATCATTTGGCTGAACTTGAACTGAATGTGATCCAAACTAGTCCGCTTCGTAAAGGGTTGACTATGAACTGTAATTAGTTCCTTCTGAGATATGCTGAACTTGAAGTAGAACCAGTTCCTCTTAAAAATGAACATTTGAAGCTCTGATTTATTTTCTGTGCTGAGTTGCTTTATATTATATTAAACTGCTGCTGCTGCTGCTGCTGCTGCTGCCACTGCTGCTACTACTACTAGTAGTAGTACAACTACTAGTAATTGTTATTTTATTACCTGCCCTTCACCCTATGTTCACAGGGGAGGTTACAGGGCCGGCTCATCTATGAGGCAAGGTGAGGTGAGCGCCTCAGGTGGCAGGATCCACAGGGACAGGATATCTGGCTTTTAAGGAATGCATTGGCCACTGCTGGAATGTGCTCCTTGGAGGCCAGATATGCCTGCTCCCAGCAGCCCCCCTCAATACTGCTCCCACAGCAGCCTCTCTGTGAATAGGAGGCACTGCTGGGTCTCCTTCCATCCCTAGGAAGCAAATGGCAAGGACTGCCTTGGGCTCTGCACCCATCTGGCATGATTCAGAGCAGCCCCCCTGCCCCCCGCAACAACCCTTGATTCTCACGTCAACCATTGGGTAAGGTTGATTTGATTCCCCTCCTTGTTACCAATACAAATCTTTATTCCCACTTGTTCCTGATGTGGATCTTCATTCACTCCTTCTTCCCACCATTTTCTGGTTCGCCTCAGGTACCAAAATGTCTTAGGGGGTTAGGTTACAACATCAAAATGCAATATATATTTTTTTAAAGTTTAGAAGAACTTACATAATTAAATTGGGTCTCAAAAACATACCCCGCTTTTCCACTGGAGTCCTCCAAGCAGCTAACCATGTGGATAAGACACACCAAGAACCACACGCTCACAAAACAACACCCGCCATCCCACCGAGGGAGGAGACAGCACCAGAGGTTTCTTCCCACAGGGCAGTTGCTCCAAGTTGGCTCTGTGGGGTCAGGAAGGGGGCAGTTTACTCCTACCCTGGGCAGAGCAACTAGAGTAGGCCCTAATATTATCTTTTTGTACTGATACATATATACAAAATATGCACAGATGTGCACAAAAAATATAAAATAAAAAACAAAGAACATAAATAATAATACAAAGAACAAAAAATAAAATAAAATAAATAAAAGCGTTAAAAGAAAAGAATAAAAGAAAATCAAAATAAATAAATCAAATAAAACTAATAAATGAAATCAAAATAAGAAAACAAAAACAAAAAATAACTGTTCACTAATCCTCAACCTAATCTCCACCAACTGCCACTAACTCCTCTCTCCTCCACTCGCCTCACTACTAACCCACAATGGCTGCCTGCAAGTCAGTGGCTTTTAAAGGAGAAGCAAGAGATGTCACAAAGGAGGGCGGGTCCTTGTCACCGTGGCAACCCCCCCACCAGGACCTGGCCCCTCCTGAGTGGTGATGCTCCTCTGTCAGAACTCGGAGACACCTGCTGTTCCACCTGCATTTCACATCCTTCTTCCTGCAGCCCCATTCCCAAAGGGAGACCATCCCCACATCCTTCAAGGCAGGCTAGGCCTCTCCATAGCACAGTATTTTGCAGCCCCATTTTGTGATATTTTGGTTGACCTTATAATAGACATATTGTCCGAATATGTAACTATACGTATTCTCTTCTGATCTTCTGATATCCCTTCAGAACCTAGGCATGATTTAAAACTGTTCAGGCCCCTTCAGGTCTAGGTTGTTGTTGTTTGTTTTGTAACCCTCTAATTCAGGGGTAGCCAATACTGTGGCCTCCAGAAGATGTTGGCTTCCCCACTCCCATCATCCCCAGCCAAGTAGCCAATGGTCCAGTCCTAAGAGTTGTAGTCCATTGTCACCTAAAGAATGTCTTGTTGATTACCTGTGTTCCAATTTCTTTAAAACATCCTTTCAGTCCGTAAGAGAGGACTTCCTTAAGCACCTGTTGCCATCACTGTAGTCTTTTATTTTGTGTGTGTGAAGGAATCCAGTGCTGGTGTATTGATTTAATTTCATTTCTTATTTTTTAAATGCATTCTGTGTTCTCATTTTGTATTTCTATGTTGTGAATCGCCCCGTGATCTTCAGATGAAGGGGGGCATACAAATTTAATTAATAATAACAGTAATAATAACGATACACAGTAGCAATCCACTCACAAAATTGAAATGCAGCTTGCTTCTGTTTCCCTTGGGATGTGTGGAAGAGACTTTGGGAACTTAAAAAAAGTTTTTGACATTACTTTTGTTGGAACCTGGGGAAGAAGCATAGACAGAGCGCAACTATGCAATCCACACTGAAATGGTTTCACAAATTGCACAGAGGAAGAGCACTTGACTTGCAGAATTAAGGTAGGAGTAAATTGCTGTATTTCAAAAAGGGAAAAGAAGAAGAAACATAGGTATACAACAGATCACTATATTATACTCAAATAATTTTTAAAAAACAAGACTGGTAATGCTATTTTCATCCTATCCTTCCTTCTCACTGTAATTCTCCCTTGTGAATTACAGAAAGAGCTGTCTACTTTGCTCATTTCTTTGTAAGTTTGAAGCTTCTTCTTTTTATTACATCTGGGGTAGAGCTTTTCAAAATGTGGTTTTGTAATCCCTATTGTGTCCCGGGTCAGGCAAGTTAAAGGACATTCGGATATATCTCAGGAGATTGTCCACGTTGTACATTTCTTGACCAGTTGCTTACCCAATCCAAGCTACAAATCGTTTTGCAAATTGTCTGGAGCACTTGTCCTTTGCTCCAGAAGAAAGGTTCCTTTCCTAATGCAACACGGAGGAAATAATGCCAAAATAATGCCTCTTGCTAAATGTTATATATCCATCCATTTCTGTCCTGGCAAATGCCTTTGTAGGCCACTTAAGGCCACTCTATCTGTTAGCAGCCATTCTAAAGGAAGCACGCTTGAAATCAAATTCATTAAAATGAGAACAGGATTGATAGCTTTGAGCCTGTGATCCATTTTATTTTGAGGGGTTTTTTTGTGTGTGGAGGTGGTGCTAATGGTACACTGAATGTGTGCAATTCTGTTTGAGGCAAGATTATATATCAGTGTGAAACAGCAAAAACAACAACTATCTAATATGCTTAAAACTTTTCCATTACCATTTGATCCATTCCTATGTCTCCTTACCTGAAAGGAAGTATCCTTGAACTTTTTTGGGCTTACTTTTGAATAGACATATCTAGGATTTCTCCATAATTTAAAAAAGTCCTATAGCATCTAATTTGATGACAATTTAAGTGTCAAGTTCCCATATTGTTCTCAGTTATTCTGTGGTGCTTCTACATTCATTGGCATGCTGGAAGGTGGGAGTATACTCACTGAAAAATTGAGTTGTTTGCTGCAACTGAAAATTGCATTGCAAAAGAATTTGGGAAGAATACAAGGGTGCCGGTAATACTTTTCATGGGTTATCATCCTAGATAGACTATTTGATAGTTCCTCTTCCACTGAAACATTTATTTTTATGCAAAATATTTGTGTGTCATCTTTCCTACAAAAATATGTTTGAGTTAGTATATAAAAATCAACAATAAAAGATTTCCTAGAGGATTTTAAATTATTTATTACTTCCCCCAGGAAGAGAGGCTCATATGCATAAACAATAATCTGTTTATAATACAGATTGCCTTGCTGGGTGCAATCCATATTCTCTCGGTCATAAAGCCAGTTGCATTCCTCTGAGGGCAACTGTTTAAAATGCTATTAATAATAATTAGGTATGTTCTCTCACCACTTGGGGGCAGCAGCCAACACCAAATATAAAGTTTCACCATCAGATATACTTCCTGTAAATTGCCTGCGATGCTCAAAACTGTATGTTTCCTTTTTACAAAAGGAAAGGCAAATTAACCTCTCTTTGTATTTGCAGGACTTTTCTTTTTTTGTTATGCATTAAATATCTGTGTTCAACAGGGGAAAGTATGTTAGACCGCACACATTTCATACAAATAGTTATACTAAATGTGTGTGTGTGCGTACACACACAGAGGTGAGTGCATAATAGTACTGATATACTAAATGTTTGTTGCTTTTTAACCAATTAATTAATCAGCTAAACAATGCAGTATTGGAATGCAGATTATATTAAATTAAAGGCAGGTGGCGTTGTGGTGTAAACCACTGAGCATCTTGGGCTTCCGATCAGAAGGTTGATGGTTCGAATCCGAGCAATGGGATGAGCTCCCGTTGCTCTATCCCAGCTTCTGCCAGCCTAGCAGTTCGAAAACATACCAGCTAAATAGGTAGCTAAATAGGTACCACTGTGGCAGGAAGGTAAATGACGTTTCTGTGCGCTCTGGCACTCATCATAGTGTCCCATTGTGCCAGAAGCGGTTCAGTCATGCTGGCCACATGACCCTGAAAGCTGTCTGTGGACAAATGCCAGCTCCCTCAGCCTGAAAAGCGAGGTGAGAGCTGTACCCCATAGTCACCTTTGACTGAACTGAACTGTCCAGGGGTGATTTACCTTTACCTTATATTTAATATGACTGCAATACTGTGCATAATTATAATTTCTCAGTAGTACAATCTTATTTGTGTTTATCCAGAAGTCTTATTGAGTTCAGCGGGGCTTACTCCCAGATAAGAGGGCATTGGATCGCAGCCCCTAACCCCAATAACTTCAATGGAATTTAAACGGAACTGAATTCAGGATCGTAACAGCTTCCATTTGATGCAACCATTTGTTATTTAGAGAATCTTCTCACAGGCCAGTCTGTTGTGGGATATGCAAGTGGGAGAGAATTCCAGCTCATCGTTCTTGAGCTGGCTGATACAGCATCACTTTGCATTATTGACAGCTCTGCAGTCCTGATGTGGCACCAGCACAAAGGACCTAAATGATGATCCATCTGCGGCGATGCAGCTGCAAGGATATGATATATGACATGTGGTCTTAAGTCAAGGAATGGCAGATGTGACATTAGTCAGCATCTTATCCGCAAGTGCAAGTTCTGAACATTGCAGCAGTTAAAGGCTGTGGTTAAAAACAACAAAACAAAACCCAGCTACCTACATAGGAACACAGGAAACTGCATATTACCAATTCAGACTATCTAGCCAGGATTCTAGATTCAGGTAGGTAGCCGTGTTGGTCTGACACAGTTGAAATGTATATAAAAATTTAAAAAATGTCCAGTAGCACCTTAGAGACCAACTAAGTTTGTTCTTGGTATAAGCCATGGGTAGGCAAGCTAAGGCCCAGGGGCTGGATCCGGCCCAATCGCCTTCTCAATCCGGCCCGTGGACGGTCCGGGAATCAGCGTGTTTTTACATGAGTAGAATGTGTCCTTTTATTTAAAATGCATCTCTGGGTTATTTGTGGAGCATAGGAATTTGTTCATTCCCCCCCCAAAAAATATAGTCCGGCCCCCCACAAGGGCTGAGGGCCAGTGGACTGGCCCCCTGCTGAAAAAGTTTGCTGACCCCTGGTATAAGCTTTCATGTGCACGCACAGGTATCTGAAGAAGTGTGCATTCACACGAAAGCTTATACCAAGAACAAACTTAGTTGGTCTCTAAGGTGCTACTGGACAATTTTTTTATTTTTTTATATATTTAGCCCAGGATTACTAACACTGATTGGCAGCAGCCCAGGGTTTCAGGACGAAGTCCTTCCTAGACCTACCTGGAAATGCCAGATTGAACCTGAGGCCCTTTGCATACAAAGCATGTGTTCTGGCACTGAGCAACAGCCTGTGCCTAAATGCTTAAAGGAACTGGTGCTGTACTGTACATCTGTAAATATATATATTGTCCAGTAGCACCTTAGAAACCAACTAAGTTTGTTCTTGGTGTGAGCTTTGTGTGCATGCACACTGTTTGTATATATGCTATGAGTAATGCATGCCAGGCCAGCCCCACTCATCCAAAATCAAAGAATTGATGAATTCGTTCTTATTTTGGATTGATCTAGCATTTCACACCAGAACAGCCCTATCAGGGTTACAGATGTTAACCAGCTACCGTCCCTGTTCTTAATCTAGTTAGGCTGTCCCCCTGCAGAATATAACTTGACCCTTCTGTAGAAGATTTCAGTAGAAGATTTCAAAGTTAGCATTATCGCCTGCTAATGTCTGCAAATTAAGATGCTGTAAAAAGCAGAAGAGCATAGGTTACCATAATAATATAATCGGCATTCCTAATGGGGAGTGTGTATAACCCTGCCCCTTGTACTGGACCCTTTTAAAAGTCTGTAAATGCTATCGTTAGAATTTGTGCCTCACCATCAGAGTTCAGGGAGAGTAATTAATATTTTTAAATAGGGTAATTGGTATTGCATATGTTTTCCTTTATCTTTTACAACTACATGAGTGGCAGAAATTCCGAAGGGTGGATTTTTGCTAGCACGGATAGAAAAAGCCGCATTTACCAAATTTCTACTTGTTTTATCAGTCTTTTTTTTGTGGATAAATGTGATTATTTAAAATTTAAAGTCGGGGGGGCGGGAATTCTGGCAATAAAACAAGATGATGCATTCCTGCTTCTCTTGGAGAGTGGTGGAGATTGATAGAGTTGTCAATTTATCATTTGCACCTATCGTTTATTGTTTTGCATCAGTAGTGATACAAAAACGAAACCAGAGAAGGCACAGCAAATGAATAACAACAGTCGGAAGACAGTTGCGGAAGGACAATATGGATAATAGTGCTCAGACTGCACTTTGTTCGCTGTTTCCCCTTCTATGTTAACCTGGCTGCATCGCTAGGAAGAGGGAAGGCTGCCTAATGTCTACAACTGTTAATTAGGGTCTCGCATTGTCCACTTGGTGGCAGTATGACCAGAGCATCCCTGTATGCCTCGGTTTGAAGCTAGAACCTTATAGAAACTGGGTAGAAATTTACCCAAATTAGATTTAAAAAGATATTTCTGCCTTGGGTATTTGTTCAAACCTGCAGGAACTATAAGGTCGCCAGCTTTTAACTGGGTTCTGCCCTGGTGCCTTTCTGCCATTATTGGCAGAGAATAATGCTTATCTCATTGCCTTGAAAAGTTTCATCTGCTGATTTCTATAGGTCAGCCTTCCCCCAACCTGCTGCCCTCCCCTTATCTCAGACTGCACTTTCTATCTACTGCAGCCTGCATGGTTATTATTATTGTTATTATTTATTAAATTTGTATATTGCCCTTCATCTGTAGATTTCAGGGCAGTTTGCAGTTGTACTCCAAAGCATCGGCAGGGCACCAAGCCAGGGAAGGCTACTGTAGCTCAAACTGCTCTTAAACACACAGTGATACCTCAGGTTACGTACTTAATTCGTTCCGGAGGTCCGTTCTTAACCTGAAACTATTCTTAACCTGAAGCACCACTTTAGGCAATGGGGCCTCCTGCTGCTGCCGTGCCGCCGAAACACAATTTCTGTTCTCATCCTGAAGCAAAGTTCTTAACCTGAAGCATTATTTCTGCGTTAGCGGAGTCTGTAACCTGAAGCGTATGTAACCTGAAGCGTATGTAACCTGAGGTACCACTGTATAGGAGCCATTCAGGTTCCAGACGTGTCTAGTTTATCTGTTGGAATGGCATATGATTTACAGGACAGGGAATGCACACACAGCCATGTTAAATTTTGCGTCAGGCAGTTCTAACTAAATGTGAGCCATTCAGGGATCATAAAATATAAAATGCCTGGGATATTTCAAGGGTTCTGCATTCATCCTTAGCACCTTGACATTGACCTATTGCACATGTATGATTTCTGACTTCCTAACCAGGGACGCGGGTGGTGCTGTGGGTTAAACCACAGAGCCTGGGACTTGTCGATCAGAAGGTCAGCGGTTCGAATCCCCGTGACGGGGTGAGCTCCCGTTGCTCAGTCCCTGCTCCTGCCAACCTAGCAGTTTGAAAGCACGTCAAAGTGCAAGTAGATAAATAGGTACCGCTCTGGCAGGAAGGTAAACGGTGTTTCCGTGTGCTGCTCTGGTTCGCCAGAAGCGGCTTAGTCATGCTGGCTACATGACCCGAAAGCTGTACGACGGCTCCCTCGGCCAAAAAAGCAAGATGAGCACCACAACCCCAGAGTTGGCCACGACTGGACCTAATGGTCAGGGGTCCCTTTATCTTTACTTTTAACCAGCTTCCCCTCTCCCTCCTTCTCCTCTGCTATGCAAACTCCCTTCCTTTCTCTTTTCAGAGGTAATCATGCTGCCCAGCTCCATTTCCGCCAATATTAATGCTAACCATGGCTAGTTTTCAGGCAGAGGCTGGAACCAGGGTTAAGAGAAGGATTGGCAACACTAGCCGAGTTTGCATGTGAGAGGACGATGAAGAAGAAGTGTACAAGCCTGTGGAGTCTTGCTTGATTTCCTAAACACAGCTAGGAGAACAAGAACACCCTGTCTACCCCAGGCCCCTAATACTGGTTTGCTCTCGTTGAGTTGCCAAGCTGTTTTTCTGACAGGGCTCCTCTTCTCTAATAGCTGCATGATAGGAGCAAATTCAGATCAGGTTTTTTAGACAGGACAGGACTGTGACTGCCCCACCCTCTTGCCCACAGGACATACATGTGCAGGTCATCCAAGGAGGGAGATCATTGCGGGGGAGACAAGAAGGGAGATTATTGGGGCTTGTAGCCATCTCTGTCTTGGCACATTTTAAAAAACTGGCCCTAGGAGAAAATATTTGCAGGTGTCCTGGCATATAGAAAGAGCCTTCAGCAGGTTCGTGATGAAAGCTTTATTGTCAAGCACATTACCAGGGTCACGCCTCTAGTTGTGTAGAAAGGATGTGCTTTTAGAACAGCCTCCTTCTGGACCTCCACCAAAATCTGAACTAGAGCATTTTTTGAAGCCAATGGAAGGCACTTTTCTTCAGGCAGGCATTGGAAACTTTGGCTACAGCAACAGATTACTATGAAAGGGTTTGTTTACTAGCAGCATAATTGCAATTATTATTAATTTTCCTTTTTTTTATATATGCCACATATCACCTCTTTGATAGATGAGCAATCATTAGACAATGATAACTACATACCACTGTAAGCAAGCAAATATATTATATTACATTGGGCAGTTTTTCCTGGTGTTCATTCAGACATGGATTTGTATTTTTTAAAGCTCAGAGACAGTTTGGGAAGATAGAGATGTGGTGTTTTCTGCTCAACGGCACCATCTGCTTCTCCTCTCCCATCTTGACAATCTGTTTTTCTTTTGCACGGGTGTTCTTTGTTTTTAATGTTTGGATTGTTAGCTGCTTTGATTTTTGTGTGTGTAAGAAAATAAAGGGAATAATTTTCTAAAAGCCCATTAAAATTGACCTCTGTAATTCACTGTAGGTGGTGCTGCCCTTGAAGATGACTCAGAAGTTTCAGTGGGTGGGAAACGCTAGGGCTGCCTTCCTAAAAGGATATGGAGTGGCATGTGCATATCTAACCACTGTTCTGCAAATAGCATTGCTTATCTGTTTCCTTCTGAGCACAACTCAAGGTGCTGGTTTAACCATTACGCCACTTCCTCACTTTCTCTCACTCTCCCACTCCCCTTGCTGTTGTTGTTGTCCCCGCCCCCAGACCAGACACTCCTGCACAAACTCCTCACAACTGCTAGGAGTAAGTATTACTATAGATCCCCAAGCCAAACGGAGGACATAGATGATGCCTTCCTGGAACAGATGGCCAAGCATGCAAAAGGAAGGGAGATAGTAGTAATGGGGGACTTCAATTACCCGGATATTTGTTGGATGTCAAACTCAGCCAAGAGCATAAGGTCAAACAGATTCCTCACTGGCCTTGCAGACAACTTCATTGTCCAGAAAGTGGGAGAAGCAACAAGAGGAACAGCCATTTTAGATCTGGTCCTAACCAATGTTGATGACCTGGTTAGTGGGGTAGAAGTGGAAGGATCATTAGGCGCGAGTGATCATGCTCTTCTGAAGTTTACTATACAGCGGAAAGGAGCAGCCAAGCATACTAGGACTCAATTTCTTGACTTTAAGAAAGCTGACTTCATAAAACTTAGGGAAGTGCTGGGTGAGATCCCATGGACAGTAATACTAAAAGGAAAGGGAGTTCATGATGGCTGGGAGTTTGTTAAGAGGGAGATACTAAAAGCACAACGTCAGGCAATACCAATGAGACAGAAACATGGAAGGTGCCTAAAGAAGCCAGGGTGGCTATCTAAAGAACTTTTAACTGAGTTAAGATTAAAAAGGATGTGTACAAAAATGGAAAAGGGGAAACCACCAAAGAGGAATTCAAACAAATAGCCAGCACATGTAGACACAAAGTCAGAAAAGCTAAAGCACAGAATGAACTCAGGCTTGCTAGAGAGGTTAAAAGCAACAAAAAGGCTTTTATGGGTATGTCCGTAGCAAAAGGAAGAACAAAGAAACAGTGGGGTCACTCAGAGGAGAAGATGGTGAAATGCAAACAGGGGACACAGAAAGAGCTGAACTCCTCAATGCCTTCTTTGCCTCAGTCTTCTCCGATAAAGAAAAAAATGCCCGACCTGAAGAATTTGGAGCAAATGATTCAGCAAAGGAAACACAGCCCAGAATAACTAAGGAGATAGTACAAGAATACTTGGCTAGTTTAGATGTATTCAAGTCTCCAGGGCCAGATGAACTGCATCCAAGAGTATTAAAAGAACTGGCAGATGTGATCTCAGAACCACTGGCAGTCATCTTTGAGAATTCCTGGAGAACAGGTGAAGTCCCGGCAGACTGGAGGAGGGCAAATGTTGTCCCTATTTTCAAAAAGGGAAAAGAGAGGACCCAAATAATTACCGCCCAGTCAGTCTGACATCAATACCAGGGAAGATTCTGGAGCAGATCATTAAGCAAACAGTCTGTGAGCACCTAGAAAGGAATGCTGTGATCACCAATAGTCAGCATGGATTTCTGAAAAATAAGTCATGTCAGACTAACCTGATCTCATTTTTGACAGAATTACAAGCCTGGTAGATGAAGGGAATGCAGTGGATGTAGCCTACCTTGATTTCAGCAAGGCATTTGACAAGGTGCCTCATGATATTCTTGTAAAGAAGCTGGTAAAATGTGGTCTTGACTATGCTACCACTCAGTGGATTTGTAACTGGCTGACTGACCGAACCCAAAGGGTGCTCATCAATGGTTCCTCTTCATCCTGGAGAAGAGTGACTAGTGGGGTGCCACAGGGTTCTGTCTTGGGCCCGGTCTTATTCAACATCTTTATCAACGACTTGGATGATGGACTCAAGGGCATCCTGATCAAATTTGCAGATGACACCAAATTGGGAGGGTGGCTAACACCCCAGAGGACAGGATCACACTTCAAAACGACCTTGACAGATTAGAGAACTGGGCCAAAACAAACAAGATGAATTTTAACAGGGAGAAATGTAAAGTATTGCACTTGGGCAAAAAAATGAGAGGCACAAATACAAGATGGGGGACACCTGGCTTGAGAGCAGTACATGTGAAAAGGATCTAGGAGTCTTGGTTGACCACAAACTTGACATGAGCCAACAGTGTGACGCAGCAGCTAAAAGGCCAATGCAATTCTGGGCTGCATCAATAGGAGTATAGCATCTAGATCAAGGGAAGTAATAGTGCCACTGTATTCTGCTCTGGTCAGACCTCACCTGGAGTACTGTGTCCAGTTCTGGGCACCACAGTTCAAGAAGGACATTGACAAACTGGAGCGTGTCCAGAGGAGGGCAACCAAAATGGTCAAAGGCCTGGAAACGATGCCTTATGAGGAACGGCTAAGAGAGCTGGGCATGTTTAGCCTGGAGAAGAGGAGGTTGAGGGGTGATATGATAGCCATGTTCAAATATATAAAAGGATGTCACATAGAGGAGGGAGAAAGGTTGTTTTCTGCTGCTCCAGAGAAGCGGACACGGAGCAATGGATCCAAACTACAAGAAAGAAGATTCCACCTAAACATTAGGAAGAACTTCCTGACAGTAAGAGCTGTTCGACAGTGGAATTTGCTGCCAAGGAGTGTGGTGGAGTCTCCTTCTTTGGAGGTCTTTAAGCAGAGGCTTGACAACCATATGTCAGGAGTGCTCTGATGGTGTTTCCTGCTTGGCAGGGGGTTGGACTCGATGGCCCTTGTGGTCTCTTCCAACTCTATGATTCTATGATTCTATGATTCTATGATTCTAAGTCCTTTACAGCCCTGAAATGATAAGATGATATTCTTGTCAAAGTTGACATATGTTCCCCTTCTTCCCATATTCCCCCAAAAGTTTGTAAGACCTTTTTATTCTTGCTAGAATCCAGTGACTCTAACTGATCTGCTTTTAAGTCTAGCTGGTGGGTTTCCGCCCAATCAATTTGATTGTTTGTAGCCAATGGCTATTACAATATGAACACGATAAAAAAAATCCTTCCAGCAGCACCTTAGAGACCAACTAAGTTTGTTATTGGTATGAGCTTTTGTGTGCATGCACACTTCTTCAGATACGCATGCACACGAAAGCTCATACCAATAACAAACTTAGTTGGTCTCTAAGGTGCTACTGGAAGGATTTTTTTTTAATTTTGTTTCGACTACGGCAGACCAACACGGCTACCTACCTGTAACTATAATATGAACACAAATCGCACAACTGCAGAACAGAACAAAAAGCATTGCATACACCAGAACAAGCCAAATCTACAATGTCAACATCCCTAGGATTTAGCACTGGTGGTTGTATTTAGCTTCAGCTCCCATAAACAACTTCATACTGAATTTGCAGTTATTAATAATTTCCTTAGATGGTTAGTGCTATAGTTAAAGTTTATTTCTATGCTGCCTTTCAACCCCTCCCCCCAAAAAAGCCCCCAAGGCAGTTCACACACGATAATTCCCAGATACAAAACTCAACCAAAAAATAAATTTAAAAAGTACAACTTACACCCCAAAAAATTAGACAGCAAAATCTTAATATTTCAGAAAAGACCAAAAGCAAAATATATGCATGTTCCTTTGCCCAAATGGGAAATAGCAGCCCTCAGAAAGTCTCCAGGGAGAGCAGGAGTAAATCCTTAAGGGGTATCTCATCCTCACAAAGGTCCCAAGCAGAGGTGTGGGAGGTGGGAAGACCGCAGCAGATTCTGGACTGAGATTGCAGAATTCTCCAGAAATAAAGCATCCACTTACTGGAGAGTAAAGGTAAAGGACCCCTGGATGCTCTAAACCACTGAGCCTCTTGGGCTTACAGATCAGAAGGTTGGCAGTTCGAATCCCTGCAACGGGGTGAGCTCCCATTGCTCTGTCCCAGCTCCTGCCAACTGGAGAGTGCATCTCATTGGCACTCCATGAGCCCTGTGTCTGAGCAGGCATGTATAGGATCCCACAGTTAGTCTTGGCTTCTCTGATTCAAGAACTAAATGAGCATGCACAAGTGAAGTTCTGACCCACGGTCTGCTACTACCAATGATATAAAAGGATCTGTGAAAAGCAAAGACCCCACATTGCCAGTATCATTGCACAGCTTAGGAACTGTATGTTACAAAGACCTTCACCAGCCTGGATAGCTCAGCTGGATAGCGCATGGTGCTGTTAACACCAAGGTTGCAGGTTCAGTCCCTGAATAGGACAGCTGCATATCCCTGCATTGCAGGGGGTTGGACTAGATGATCCTCAGGGTGCCCTTCCAACTCTATGATTCTATGAATACTGATAATCTTATTAATGCAGCTTTTGATAATACCTCTATGTGCAAAATACAGTGATCAAGACCAGAAGGAAAGGCATTCTTGGGATTGAACTCTCCCTTTGGAACCGCCTTCCTCCAGAGGTTCACCCAACTCTGAGCTTGAGCATTTTCTGAAGCCAGTGGGAGGTATTATTTTTCAGGTGGGCTTTGGAAACTTCTCACCTAGCCATAGATTGCTTTAATGGAGTTTGTTTAACAGCAACATACTTTATCTGATATATATATATATATATATATATATATATATATATATATATTGTGCATGTTATATAAGTCATACATCATCTTTTAGATTGACAGTAAATAGATAATAATAATAATAAATACATACCAGTGTAAGCCAGCAAACATTTTACATTTCATCTGTCATGGATGCTTTAGCTGAGATTGCAAGGGGTTGGGCCAGATGATCTTTGGGGTCCCTGCCAACTCCACAATACTATGATTCTACAATGGGCACATCTACCTGTGTTGGAATACGGTAATAAAATAGCTCCCAAGACCTTGAGTTCCTCAGTGGAGTGTATTTTTATATTTAAAAGAAAATGAGAAAAACCTCGCATCTGTCAATTAGGTAGCCAGAATTAAAAATCCAGAATGTAGGCTAGCTTTTGCCAACCTCTAGATGTTACAGATTACAGTTCCCATCATGCTGGTTGGGGCTGATGGGAGTTGTAGTCCAAAGCATCTGGAGGGAACCAGGCTGTCTTAAGGCAGGTGTAGACTATCTAGAGAAAGCAGCAGCAGCTCAGAGCTGGATAAGTGTGTTGTGCGCAACTAATGGCAGGCCACAATGAAGGGAATGTACATCACCTTATAAGTCAGGAATGAGGATCCTGTGGCCCTGCAGATGTCCGTTGGCAATGCTGACTGGGGCTGATGTAGTCCCAAACATCTGGAAGGCCACAGGCTCCCCATTCCCTATTCTGAAAGGGGGTTACATTGATTGCACCCCTGGATGTGCATTGCATAATGTAAGGAGCAGTGCCGGATTTATGTATAGGCTAAGTAGACTGAAGCCTAGGGCCTCTAAATCTAGGGGGCCTTGCCAGCCCACCTGCTCCCCAGCAGGCAGTCTCCCCTCTCCCAAAATTGCTAACCCAAAACTTCATGCGAGGGCAGGGCACCACCAGTGAAAAGGCCCTGCTCTGTGTAGCTCCTGCCCTGTCATCTTGTTTTTTGTACAATCTTGTTTGACCTCAGTAACCAAAATTATATTATCAATATATACAAGCAGAAAAGTTCTTTTCCTTCATCTGCAAGAAATCATACAAAACAAAGTGGCACTAATAATGAAAAGTTCCAGGGTGGCAACAGAAAGCAAACTAAAAATGCTTTTGCAGTTCATCAAAACTATCCAGCAATATCAAGTTATAGGAAAACTGGTGCTATTAACAGTAATCCTTCTAGTTGGTTAATTGGTTCGGCAACTTCCATGCACATGATGTGTGATGCTAATTATTCTTCCCAAGAGTTAAATGATAAGTAATCAAAGGCAGCTCGTCGGGAGAGCTATGAGATTCAGGTGAGGGTCAGATGCCTTGTCAATTCCAGCAGGTATATGAGAGGACAGCCTGGCCTGCGGGCTGCCCATACTCCCCAGGACAAAAGCAGAAAAGATATTTATTTTACACTGGAACACAATTTAATAGGAATTTACTATTAATAGGAATATACTACTCTTATTAGTCCTGTATACAAGACCTCTAGCATATAAAGGTAAAATGATATACGTCCAAGGTTAGATATAATTTCTCTTTCTAAATTTACATTTTTAATACAGTGGTACCTAGGGTTAAGAACTTAATTCGTTCTGGAGGTCCGTTCATAACCTGAAACTGTTCTTAACCTGAAGCACCACTTTAGCTAATGGGGCCTCCCGCTGCTGCCGCGCCGTCGCTGCACGATTTCTGCTCTCATCCTGAAGCAAAGTTCTTAACCCAAGATACTATTTCTGGGTTAGCGGAGTCTGTAACCTGAAGTGTCTGTAACCTGAAGCGTCTGTAACCCGAGGTACCACTGTATTGTTACAGTTAACTTATATAACTACATATACACATACACAACAAAGGAGGAAATATAGGTTGCAATCCTTTACACATTTATGTGGGAATAAGTTCCATTTTCCTATTTTGCCATGATTACAATTATTTTTTCCATGCAGCCATTCCGCCAAGGAGTTCAGGGTGACATACACAGTCCCCTCCCCCATTTTCCCTCACAACAACCTTGTGGAGTAGGCTAGGCTGAGAGAAAGTTATTAACCCAAGGTCACCCCAGTGAGCATCATGGCCAAGTAGGGATTTGAACTCTGCTCTCCCAGATTCCTAGCTCAGCACTCCAACCACTGCACAATACTGCCTCTACATTAGCGACATATTGATTACAGTGGGACTTACTTCCTAGTAAAAATTTCTAGGATTGGGGTGTTAGAACCTCGATTCAATTTCTTTCCATGACAGCACAAAACAAAAACAGTTGGATTGGCCCTGAAATCAGGGTGTGCGAAGCTCAACGAAGATCCAAAACCATTTGAAATTATTGTTTCTCTGCCACCCCAACTTGCATTTATGCCTGTGAATGACTCTCTATAACTTTATCCCCGTCATCAAAGATCCTTCTTTAAATGAAGCAAATGGCTACTATGGAAGAAGGATTGAGTAGAGAGGCAATGCTGAAGTAAAAACAAGAACCTCTTCTTGCTTTTGTGTGGTATGTCTCTTGCCAGATATTAGCCTATTAAAACAAGCATAATTTCCCAATAAGGTTTTGAATTGGGGGGGGGCGGTCTTCCAAGTATGCCAACTGTGCTCAAATGCAGGTGTCAGTGCTTTTATGTGTTTATGTCATGTTTCTGTATCATATACATTCTTAACATTAATGTATGCAATTACCGCATAATTAAGAAATAATTAATATTATATATTAATAGCTGTATGGTATTTGGTGTCAATTTGCGGCAGCGCTTTAACAGGTGTATGCTAGCATGAGGCATTAAGTCCAATCCTTTGCGTGTTTACACAGTAAGTCCCATTCTATTCAATGGAGATTGCTCCCAAGTAAAATACACAGAGGATTGTAGCCTTTAAATAAATGGATGGAAAGAACTGCTTTGCATTCAAACTGCCTTGTTTCTTGTGTGTAAAGAAAAACAAGAGCGTTTTCCAGATTTATGTCTGTGTTGAATCCTCATTGCTAAAGTGCTTAAAAATAAATCACAAACCAAGGGAGCTTTTCCTATGTATATACATGAAATCATGGACCATAGGGAATACCCATTTCTAAATGTATGAAACATGTGCACTCTACTGTTTATGATGAATAAAAGAGTGGTGTGGGTTTTGTGTATTTCTGGAGAGTTAAACGATAAATGCTGTTATACTTCTGGAAGTCTCCAACTGGAAATGTGTCAAGAGCTTTCCAAAGCAGCTCATAATGTCTGTCTGGGGCCCTCATTGTTAGTCTGAGCAGAGATGTAACGTTAGAAATCAGAAGTAAAAGCAAACATCTCCCCTTAATATGCCATAACGTTTCCAGCACTCCAGCTCCATCACCCCTGTCATATCCACTTTGCATGTGTCCTTTCTAGCTTCCATTGTCAGCCTGAACCTGCACCTCATCCAAGCCTGTCCTGACCGAGACACAATTCTCCGGCAGGGAAAAAGAAGCAAATAAACAAGTTGAGTGGTGTAAAAAAAGGGGGTTGCCTTGCAGGTGCCTGCAGCTGGCGGTTAACACAGACAGTAAGAGGATCAACTCCATCTCCACTGGCTGGAGAGAGAGGGAGAGAAATAAAGCTCCCACATTTACTATTCACAGTTTAGTTAATTTGGATGATAACGGTTAGTTTCTAATCCCATTGTGCAGAATTGAATATACTGAAACCTACAAGCCTTCTGAAAGAGGGTATCTTGCAAACAGAACAACAATCAGGAGCGTCTCCCCCCCAGACTGAACCGTGCAAGGCACGCACAGTTTTGGATAACATTTTGTAGGGGTTTGTTTAGTCACCCATCAGGTTGCAGACAAAACAGGTTACAGACAAAGCATCAAGAAGCGAGAGCTCTTTAAACAGACAAGAATCTGAATTTGCATTTTGCAGCAATAAAAAAAAAGAAGCACAAAATAACCAAAAGCTAACCAAAACTACAGTTCTAGGAGATATTAAATGGCACAGTTTCCTTCATCTAAAAATAAAATAATAAAAATCAGGGAGGAGAACAGTAACCTATTTTTTAAAACAGTTTGCAGAACGTCTCTCTGAAACTGTATTTCTGACTCTTTTTTAAAAAAACACGTTCATAATATTGCTTTGGAGAATACACCGTTTCCACGATGGAACGGACTAAAGTTTGGATACACTGGCACACATCTCCAAAGTCTAGGTGATGTTTTTATTTGGACGTGCAAACTATAGTCACATTCTGAGTTGAATTTGTTATTCATTTAGTCGATGTGTAAATTGGGCTTGTTTGAGGGGCGGGGGTGTCCCTATACAACTAAATAAGAAGGTGCCAATGAAAGTTGAAAGAGGCACGAAAATGCGCTCCGAAGCTTTGGAGAGGAAAAGGATACACCCTCTTTTTTAGCTAATTTCCTCAAGTTCCTGTTTGTGTGTTTTCGATATTTTCCTCTTCAAGCCTTTCAAAAGAAAGCAAGCAACTTCCCCAAGCTCCATTATTCCCTCTCCGGCCCCCCCTCGGACAAACTTGTTGCCCCCCAAAAAGACAGCCCTTTGCGCTCTCAAGGCGAGAAGCGCGGCTGCCAGAACAGAGGCCCTAGGAAAAAAGTTAACAATGCTGTGAAAATATGTTTGCAGAAAATAGACAATTGTTGGATTAGACGTATTCAAGTATGAAATAATGCCTTTTTGTGTAAAAACTTCAGCAATGTGCGTGTACAAAAGTTCCCTGTGGCAGTTACTTGCTCCCTTTGTGAGCGTTGCGCTTTGGCGTCTCCACTTGGCGCATTTCACTCCCAGCCCCTTTAAACGCGATTGTTTCTTTCTTTCTAATGACATTTACCGGATCAAAACATGCTGTTAATTCGATCAGAAAGCTTTACCCTCCCTAACAATGCCACAATAATTTCTCCTGAAGTTTGTTAAATTGACCAAAATTAGGCAAATGAATAGGGGGTCTGTAGGCGACCCTTCTCGCAGGTGACACCACATAATGCACTCTCAGACCAGCTGCGATCCCCTCTTTATTTTGCCCCTCTTTTCTTTGACCCGCATTATTAAGATTTAGGCCCAATGAAACCATTCACACTTTTCAATGGGATATTTTCCTATAGGATAATAGGCTACAAATTGAGCCTCTCCAAAGCGGCGAGGAGGAGGGGAAAAATAACAACCTCGAGAGACACACACACACTACAGAAACGACCGTCGTGTGCCAAAGGTTTGAGGGAGGCTCCTAAGGTCTGCAGAGGGGAGGAGAGAAAAATTTAAAGGACGGGGTGGGGGGAGAGAATCTCGTGCCAGCCTCCAGTCCCCACACCTGCCGGGGTGTCCCCGCCACATAAAGCGGGAGAAACAAAAAGGCCTGGCTGCCATCTCTCATAAAGATGGACGTGTCACCAAGTCGTGTGAGAAAAGCCTGAGAACAAACGGGCCCACTCCGTCTCCAAGGGCTCTTCCTTGAACTGGGCGGAACAGCCTATTAAGGGCTTACTTAATTACTTTAATGACTCTGGACAGGCTTTAAAATGCAGTCAGCGCTTGGACAGGGAAGGGGGGCGGCGGCAGGGTGTGTGCATGTGTGTGTTGGGCTGGGGGGAGAGTGTGGGGTGCCTGGGATTTGTAAACAGGCGGCCGTCGTGTGAGAGACCGACCAGGCGCTTGGCGGCCCACTGAAAGAAGACGGCCAGTGTTTCGCAGCCTGCAGGCGCGCCACTGCGCTCATCTCGCTGCTCCTCAGCCCTGCGCGGGTCGTTGCCATGCAAATGCCCTTCGGGGGCCGATCACGTGTCCTTTGAAGGCCCACGTGGAGTGACAAAGCTGATCTGACGTGCCCCCACCCCACCCTTACACGCCCCTTAGGCTGGGGGTGTGGGGTGGATGGGGGAAGACCCGAACATACACACATTTTAAAAAACTGATCTTTAATGCATGCCTCCTCCTCCTCCTAACGCTGCTTTCCCTAATCCTGGGGAATCAGGCAGGCCATGAATATATCCCCCCCCTCCCTCAGAAATGATCGCTTTATAAACCGCCCCTTGGAAGTTAGGGCTCTGCAATCCACCTGGGCCACTTGAAGGAGGACATCGGGTGCCTTCTGCGAGCTTCTCCCCCAGCAGCGGCTTCTTGTCACGATGGCCTCCAAATTGAAGGAACGGAAAGTGAGTTGGAGAAGGAACGGTGCCCTGCGCGCTGCCACCGGGCTCGACCTTTCCTCAAGGAACTGGTGGCCCTTAGCTGCACAGGCTTAGACATCGGTTTTGAGGCTTGTGATGATGTGTGGGGTGGGGTGGGGGGCAGTACCAGAACTCAGGAAATAGAAAGAAAGAGGCGAAGTCTCGAAACTGCTGAGATATAGGAACCTTGCAGTATTTGGCGCTTCATATATCTGGACGTTTCAAATCTCGTATGGAAGTTTCCAATATCTCAGTTTTGAGGCTTTGCCGTCCCCCACCCCAGTTTGCCTTCTTAGGATTATGGTACCATCAGCAAATGATGGACCCATCATCGTCTCCAGCAGTAAGGATGCTGCATTGCCAAATTTTGGGGAGGTTTTTGTTTCTTTTTTGTCTCCAGTATGTCAAAAGCTTGGAGAGTTGGATAGGAGGAGCTCACAAGTGCCTGGCTCTTAAAGGGCTGTTCCAAGCTGTACAGAAGTAGGTTGTTGAAGGGCAGAGAAGTGTCTGGAGACGTCAAGAAAAATTAAAGGTGATGGAGCGACTTCGCGTTCTGATGCGATGCTCCCTTCCATCTTGCCATACCACACGTGTGTCTAGCCTAAGCCTGTCGTTCTCATGCATTTTCCAGAGGATCCCGGTCTCCCATAAAGTGATCGAGAAAAGGAGAAGGGACCGGATCAACCGCTGTCTGAACGAACTCGGAAAGACGGTGCCAATGGCTTTGGCAAAACAGGTGCGCATCCCAAAGTTGCGTTTTGCGTCTTTTTGGCCGAGAGGGGAAGCAATTTGCGTACGTGGGGTTACTTAGGAGTGGCTGCTGCTGCTGCTGCTGTTCTTTTTGCGTGGAGAGGGGTGTGTGTATGTGGCATTTTGCAATATAAGGGGATCGTGATCATAGCTTTGTGAATGAAACAAGTGTGGCTTATTCCTGCTCATTTGCAAGCCTTTTTGTCGTTAGGTTAACTCACTGGATTCAATGCTCCGGGTGCACGGGGTTGGAAAACAACTCCCTGAAGTCCTGTCTGCCTTTGTGCATTTCAGAGTTCCGGCAAGCTGGAGAAAGCGGAGATCCTGGAGATGACCGTCCAGTACCTGCGGGCCCTTCACTCTGCAGATTTCCCTCGGGGGAGAGAAAAGGGTAGGCGCGCTCTTCTTCCGTGGCTGTGCGTTTCTGGCCACGCAGGCGCGCAGGGAGAAGACCCTGGGCCGGGAACTGCTGGCTGAGCTCTGAGAAGCCTTGGGAATGGATCACACTTTGCTGTGGGAAATCCCATTAGTGAAATTGGGGGATTCTGGCGACACGGGTGGAGAGGAAAAGAAATCCCAGCTCGCGACACTGGGAGGGATTTTGGACACAAACGTTTTCACGACCAGATTAGTGGTCCAGGGGTTAAATCGCCAAGGGCAACCCACTAGCTCTTAGACTCAGACCCCCAGTGCAATCCTCTATAAATCTTCTCAGAAGTAAGTCCCACTGATTACAATGGGGCCTGCTCCCAGATAAATGGGTGTGGGGTGGTGGCCTCAGTTTTCAGTATGTAATTTGGGAATCAGTGATTCTACCTCACAGTGAATGGATTGCATGGAACATAAATAAACAATCCTTTACATGAATTAAACTCCCCCCCCCAAAAAAAAGAGTAAGCAAATTAATGGAAGGTGAAGCTCTCCGTGATTAGAGACAGTGCATTACAGTAGCTTAGGCGTTGCTTTGAACTTTCCAAGCCTGGGTGGTTTTGGAGACTTAAGTGCAGGACTCAAACAACATTTCGTTTGATCCAGCAAGATAACTTCATTCCCTGATAAGGAAGGATTTTACAGACTTGTGAGATGTAGAATAATGAACAAATAATGCATTTATTATGGCACAATCTTCTGTGACCAGCAGCCCACTTCATCAGCTACATGAAGCATTAATACTCAGCAGATGTATATGATGTGAACATATACTCAAATAGGTGTATATTTTTTGTATATACCTGGCTACATAGGGGGGAAGTCCAGTGCAAAATTGTTGGCTGAGAATTTATCAGTACACTCTGAGGCTGTGTACGCACTATACCTTTAAAGCACATTATTTCCATCAAATATCTCTGGGCACTGTAGTTTACTCATCAGAGTTGCAATTCCCAGCAACCCTTAAGAAACAAAAGTGCTCAGAATTCTTTGAGTGGGAACCTGTGCTTCAAATGTGCTTTAAACATAGCTGCTTTTCCTACCTTAACTAGCAAGACTGCAGAGCATGGTTTGCTCTGTTCTCATGCTGTATTTGCTGATCTACCCCTGATTTGTTAGACTTCATGGGATGTGTTCTGAGCATTCATTTTCAGTTATTGTGGGGAGGTTATGTGATGCCACATCAAGCGATTGTTATCTCACACTTTCCAGTGTGTTTTCCCATCACTGGGGTAGGGAGTGAGCTCATTCACACTCCCTTTTGTCCTGCAATTTATTCCATTTGCCCCATGATTTCTAGGCATGGGTCTGAGAGGTTTTTCTTCTGCCCCTTTGCCTTCCCCTGGAAAACCCACAGTTTACTGCTGAATCAGTACATACATAAATCTGGAGAAAACCCATTTGACGTTTGTTCTGATGCAGTAGTAAACCACAGGTTTTCCCAGGGGAAATGGCAGGACAAAAGGAACACCTCTTGGCCCCCTGCCTAGAAATCATGATACAAATGTAAGTGTGGATGAGCCCTTTGCCACACAAGAGCACCAAACCAACTCTAATTGTGCAACTTTAATTTGCCAGTATATGGCTGAATCCTATCCAAAAACAGCAACATTCTTGAAGCATCCTTTGTCCTGTTGCATTGCCTTCCATGGGATGCCCACGTTAACCAATGCACCTTTTCCCATGTGTAAAATGGTCAGGTGAAGAAGATACAGGTGAATACCTGCAAAGGTACAGGAGCCTTGTCCTACTTTTTTACTTCACCACTCCACTGAGACCCCCCACTTGGGAAACACTAGTTTCCAAACTCTACTTACTAAATTAGGCAAAACAGGTTCCCATTAATTTGCTGCAAGAGGCAGGAAAAACAGGGTGTCGATTGTAGGGTGGGGTGTTCGAGTTTCTTCCTGCCCCATGTAGGCAAGCCATGATTCCCAACCACACGCCCCACAGGGGGCAATTTGATTTTGAAGGTGGGCAGTTCAAAAATGAGTTATTAACAGTTAATGGCTTTTTAGGCTTCCTCCATGCGAATAGGAACCACTGCTGTAACCCAATTTTTCTTTCTTTCCAACAGAGCTTCTAGCTGAATTTGCCAACTACTTTCACTATGGCTACCATGAGTGCATGAAGAACCTAGTTCACTACCTGACCACAGTGGAGAGAATGGAGACCAAGGACACCAAGTACGCCCGGATCCTGGCTTTCCTGCAGTCCAAAGCTCGCTTTGTCACTGAACCCATCTTTTCCTCACTGGGATCTGTCCCAGAGCCAGACCTCTCCTATCAGCTGCCACCAGCTCCAGACTGCTTGGGCCACAGCCCCAATGACCCTGTGTTCCAGCAGGGATCTGGACACGGCCCCTTTTCCTGGCACAGCTCCGCTAGGAGTCCCACTCTCCCTTACCTCCCCAACGCTCCTGTGCCCCTCACTGGCCACGGGCAGCAGCGCAGCACCTTCTTGTCATCCATGCAAAGTCTGGACCGCCACTACCTCAACCTAATTGGCCATTCCCACCCCAACACATTCAGCCTGCCTTCTGGCCAGCATCCATCGGTGCTATAGCCTACGTCTGGCGTTGCCAGCTGGTTGTCCAAAAAGGGTCCCTGTGTCTTAAAGAGCTGCCAGAGAGAGAGAAGTCTATGGCTTTTGCCTTCCCAGTGTTGCCATGCCATTGACCTTCTCCGCGTCTTGCAGTTCCTAAAGGCCCAGAATGCCTTCCAAGGCCAGGTAATGCCGAGCTCACCTGCACATATTACCTATTTATATTATTTCAAGACAATAAATTATCTGGCCTCCTTCCACAACTGTAAATAGATATGAAATTAACGGTGGAGTGAAATAAAAATATACTTCTGGAAAAAGGTTCAGCCTGATATGTTTGCTGTGTTTATTTATTCATCCTTCTGCCAGCCAGTTCTTCTAAATGTTTGCTCTGATTTTGGCACAAATGGAGTAAGGTTAGGTGCACATTAGGTTTGTTTTGTTTTACCTTTTTAAAGAAAGCATTTTTAGAAGAAACAAACACAGCTAAGGGGAATGGAAACTCTATTTAAGTGATGGGGGAGATGCCTGTGCCAAATGGCTAAGGATGGTATCGTACACCAAGGTTATTTTGCTGTTGGTTTGATAGGAGCCAGGCTGCACCACAAGACTTTAACTTATGCAGCGGTGTCCTTTGATACGGGATGGGAATACCCTGGTGTATATATTGTGTTGTTTGTTGTTGCAACCTGGCCTTGAGATCTCCATGCTTCCTTGGAAGCAAACCTTATAGGATTTAATCTCAAGGGCTCTGGAGCCAATTCACACAATCATATTAGCATGTCATGGAATCATAGAACCTGAAGGAGCGTCTCCACCCCCATCGTTCAGCCCGGACACTGAGATCCAGCGCCGAGGGCCTTCTGGCGTTTCCCTCATTGCAAGAAGTGAGGTTACAGGGAACCAGACAGAGGGCCTTCTTGGTAGGGGCGCCCACCCTGTGGAACACCATCCCTTCAGATGTGAAGGAAATAAGCAGCTATCCTATCTTTAAAAGATATCTGAAGGCAGCCCTGTTTAGGGAAGTTTTTAATACTTAATGTTTTTAACATTTGATTGGGAGCCGCCCAGAGTGGCTGGGGAGACTCAGCCAGATGGGTGGGGTATAAATAATAAATTATTATTATTATTATTATTATTATTATTGAATCACAGAACTGTAGAGTTGGAAGGGACCCCAAATAATGCAGGAATCTCAGCCAAGGCATCCATGACAGAGAAAGGGGGCTGTTGAATGGATCATTGCAGATCTCACCATGGAGTTGTTTTACTACTGCCCCATTAAGGCACCCATGGAGGTCTCACACCATTGCACATGGGAATGCACTAGGTACCAGCTGGACTCCAGGTCCACCTGGGGCCCACGGCTGGAACATTTCTTCAAGCTGCCTTATACCGAATCAGACCATTGGTCCATCCAGCAGCCCTTGGACCTTCTACCTGCAAAACATACATAAAGGTAAAGGGACCCCTGACCATTAGGTCCAGTCATGACCGACTCTGGGGTTGTGGCGCTCATCTCGCTTTATTGGCCGAGGGAGCTGGCATACAGCTTCCAGGTCATGTGGCCAGCATGACTAAGCTGCTTCTGGCGAACCAGAGCAGTGCATGGAAAGGCCATTTACCTTCCCGCTGGAGCGGTACCTATTTATCTACTTGCACTTTGACGTGCTTTCGAACTGCTAGGTTGGCAGGAGCAGGGACCAAGCAATGGGAGCTTACCCCATCGCGGGGATTCAAAGCGCCGACCTTCTGATAGACAAGTCCTAGGCTCTGTGGTTTAACCCACAGTGCCACCCACGTCCCTAAAACATATATACTCTACCATTAAACTATGGTCATGTCCCATTGCTTGTGTGGGGAAGGTATTCACATGTGGGTGATCAACATGCAGCAGTCATATAACCTGTGTGACTGCAGAAGCAGATAAAAGATCTACAATACTGCACATACCACAATGGCTGTGTGTGTGTCTCCAGCCCTCCAACCTCATGCAGAGGTGAAAGTTCAAATAGTTAGAGTTTCCATGTGATCCTAGTTGAATTTCACATACACACACCAACAGTGATCCCATGGAAGACAGCAAGTGTCTGAATGAGACCTGGGTGTTTGCGGTGTAATTCAATACACTTTGGGAAGCTGGGCAGTGATGACCAATTACATGATTCTGTCACCCTCAGATGATTCCTGATGTGACTTCCACATCTTAACACGCTAGAATTCATTCAGATAGCTGTAGATTAACATACTTCTGAGCAAACATACAAAGTTTTTATTCATCCACATTTGATTTAAGTGACTATTAATTCCAGGTGGGGAACTTAGGGCTGGTTATAATTATGTCCAAAGATGTCTCATGATTTCCTAGCAGAGGGATTTCAGTCTGGATTATCCCAGCATTTGTTTATTACTGTATTTTAAAATTCTTGTTTTTTTTTTTTTAAATCTTTTGAATATTCTATTTCTGTACTTTACTTTCTATTCTGGTTTAGTATTTAGTTATACTGCATTTCGTATTTTTATATTGTATTGTCTGATGGAGTTGGTTTTCAATGGACATTATAAGCAGCTTTTTGGAGAAAGCTCCTCAAAACACAGAGTATACATATTTAAATAAGCAAAGCAAAGCACAATGACTCAGTGAATCCATAAAGAAAATGATGACTAAGCCTACTTAAGGTGTGAGAGCTCTTTCCATGATAGTTTGTGCTTCTGTTCATATATGCATTTCAACCAAGTAATGCTACAATTCAACAGAGATGCACTGAGGCTGCAAGAAGGGAGATTTTAACTTGCTTTCAGATCGTACACTTCCTGCCTTTATGCAAAACATGCAAGGAAGTCCTGTGGGGAAATTGAAAGGCTCCAATTTTACATTGTACAGTAAGGTGAAGTCTTACATAATGAGGATAAGCTTTTTTTTAAGATGAAGAAGTTGAAGTACTCAAATCCTGAAAGACAAATCCCCATGCCCTTTCCCAGTCACCTTTTGCAGGCTGAATGGAATGTTATCATATATAAAATGAAAACCAAAAAGGGAGTGTAAAACACAGAGCAAATAAGAAAGAAAAATACTTACTGCCAGGGATTTTGACAGCTTGGTTCTATAATTGTTCAGAACAATGGTAACAAAGTCTTGCTGAGGTACATAGGCATAGCTGCCGTGAAGGTAAACTGCATATAAGATCTCAATATAAGGAAAAAAGGAAATTCAAGTACGCACTGACCAAAACTCCCATGTTATTGTTGTTACATTTATATCCTGCCTTTCCTTCAAAAACTCAAGGCTGCATACGTGGTTTTCCTCTTTTCCATTTATCAACTGAACAACCCTGTAAGGTAGGTTAGGTGGACAGACAGTGACTGGCCCAAGTTCACCAGGCGAATTTCATGAATGAATGAAGATCTGAACCCTAGTCTCCCAGGTCATTATCTCTCATTTAGGCTTGCAGATTATCTCCTAATACATTTTTGTAATTTTCTCTCAAGATCAAATCAATACTATTTTGATCCATTGTCGTGGGGCCCCTAAAAGTCGTGGGGCGCATAGGCTACTCTGCCTATTTGGTAATCCAGCGCTGTTTGGCTTGCATATGGCAGCTGATGCTAGGTCTGCGCTGTTTCTCTCTTTCCATATAAGCTATTTATTTTTAAACTGCATTAACATACCTCCTTTTGTCCAATGAGCTCAAAGTCCATGCTTTCCCGCATAGAAAAAAAAATCATTCATGCCATACTGAAGTAATGTCATCGTACAGCATTTTTTCATTTTTATGTATAAACAGATATTTGATCTCAAAACCATGTAAAGGACAAACAGACTTCATTTTCAGCAGTTCACAGAAGTGTCATCGACTAAAACTTCAAAACTCCAGAAAAATGTTGTTAGTTAAAAAAAAATGATTTGAAATTTGCCAGACTAACAAAAAGTATAGGTTTTGGCAATCCAATGATTCTAAAAGTTACTTTCTAAATTCAGATGTATTACTCACGCTGCAGTGTAGTTCTCTCTCGCCCCACAAATATTGCGTATTTTAATATCCTGTTATTACCTCAGGTTGCACTTACCTTTGCTGTGTTGCAGACCAGCATTCGTTCATGTGCTAGGGGGGAAAATATTTCCCTACGTGTGTGTCAATCAGTATTTTACATTGTTCAGTGTGTTTTGGGCTTCCGGATCAGTTGACGGAAGGTAAATTAACTTATTCCATTTCATTCTGCAGGCTTTAGGGAGATCTGAGCTGGATTGTTTACTAAGGTCATGGAAGAGGCTGACCCACAATTTGTGAGCCATCAGCTCCATTATCCTGAGACAGACAAAAAAATCCTCATTACAATGAGTATAAAGCATAGTGTATTTCTTCCATTTAAACTGTAAACACAGAAAAACCGGGTGTGACAGATTGCCTTAAAAAGAGGTCATATTGGTGGACAATTTGAGGACAGGGAAGAAATAACTGTCTGTTTTGTCAAGACACACTTGTGGCTCCAAATCCAAATGAGCGCTGTAGGAAAATAGCGCTTGTTAAATGTCCACAGGGATAATATAGAAGCGGCAGAAATTGAGTGGCTGGCACCCATTATTGGAAAACATGTCTTACACTCATTTTCTTCATCCCTTGAGATAGAATATGGAGAAAGAAAGAAGAAGGGGGGAAAAACTTTGGCTATTTCTTTCTCTCTCTCTCCTGGCGCAAAGCCATTCAGAAACTCCTGCAGCATAGAAGCATTACAGAGATAGTGTTACCCTGGAAATATAAATTATTATTAATTTATTCAACTTTTGGCCACTGTTAACCAAATTAGACAAAAACCACCACACCGCCCTCCCTCACTTTCTTTTGCTAAGTAGATATTCTCTCTGGGATTAGCACAAGGCCACCACATTCAAAACTTAGGTCATTTACATATAATTCTGCAAACTTGCAGTGGCCCATGACAGTCTTTGTGGCTCAAATGTTGTTCTTGATCTCAACACCCCCTGCCCCAATTTTCATTTCACAGAGGAGGATAAACCCTGCTTTAGATTTACAATGGCTTTGGGATAAAAGTCTTGTCCCCTTGTTACACACACACACACACACACACACACACACACCTCAGATATTTCCCTGACTCTCTGAACCTCCTGTCTCCATCTCTAGCCCTGAAATGCCTCCGCTCATTTCTGCCTTCTGCCATAAAGACTGAGAATTACTTTGGAAGTAGTTTCAATTTCCTTCCATTAAGGACAATAATGTTAGTCTTGGCCAGAGAAGTATCTGGAGGCAGAGTTAAGAGTTCAGTGTGTCTC